ATTCTACTTCCCTACGAATAAAAAAAGGTCTATACAGACTCTGAGCAAATCAGCAGAGTATCCAAGATGACTTTAAGGCTCCAATCGGAATAAGGACCGACAAAACGTTGAGTGTGATGAAGAAGATGTTTACATTGTGTTTTATAAACATATATCTATATATTATTTTCTATACGTAAGTATAACTGTAAGCTAAGGCACCTTGCCACAGTCAGCGGCTCGCAATTGCAATTGCACATTAGAAGACCTTTGGTTCAGGATAGAATCATATTTTAGAATTTCTGAGAGCAAAGAAGAATGAAGAAATTAGGTGATAAACGTTGAAAAGGTATGTTCTCGAACTCGTGGTGCCCAGATCAATAATCCGAGAAATACATGATACACGACGAATCCGAGGTTGGTTCGACACAATCTCGTATCTGTCAGGTGTGACAGGAATAACCAAATAATTGGTAGTTTAACCAAGCAGTAGTGTCAAAACGGATATATTTTTTCCGGGGAAGATATCTACAAGCCAAATATTGCACGTGTTAATTACACAGTACGGTTCATGACGTTTAACAATTATTTTGACTTGAATTGTTTATATGGTTTTTTTTGCAGAGAAGAGGAAATCTGGACGTCGTTTAGAAACCAACAACAATTATAGAATATGATTAAAGAGTGATTGTTTCCTGCAGATATGTCTCTGTCTTTAATTGAAAAGACATTACCGAAATCGATTCCATATGTAAATGAAAAAACGCAAACGTGTCGAACCAAATTCAAACTGGTTATTACTGGCGTCAAGATATCGGAGCAGGTAATAGTATAAAAAAACCACAGGTACATGCTAATTTGCTTTACTTACTAGGAGGATATTACGTAACACTTTGGGCAATCAACAATGACGTCATCGGTTTACAGCTCAAATTGAAAAATATTGTTTTTTCAAAAGTGACCTTTTTTCTACAGTCGATATCCTAGTCGAACTCTTAAACAAACTAGATTAGTACAATGTGGGTCTAGAAGACAAAGTTACAATCCAATAAGCAACATAGCTAGGGAAACGTTTTTAACATCCATGACGTGTCACATTTTTGAACACCATTTACGTTCAAATATTGTCTTGAAAATTTTAAACCGATGTTGCTGGTCTTAAAATACGAAATCAACACCAGCATGGCTACAGAGCGATAACGTATTAGTATGTGGCGACATTGATACACTACAGATGGCGTCGTAATGTGTACCAAGTGGTTACTATCGATACAGAGACTGGTCATATTTTCACTGGATCAACGCTGTAGACTAAAAGTCTTTAGACATATTATATTCTACTTCCCTACTTGTCAATCGAAAGGCGAATTCATTCGGAAAAGTTCTAGAACATGCATGCCCGTATTATAAAAATGAGACTTCCGCTCGGAAGCCATCGGGATAGAATTGAACAATGCGGCGCATTGAAGGAACTACCATGGGACCAGTATAATCTGATTGGCGGCTCAGCCTGTATTGTAGGTCCATATACATCACGGCCTTTTAAAGGTATTGAATAAATGTGGTATTTGCCCCCACCAAACCCATTACTAATCGTTATTCCTCCCAAAACAAATGCCACCAGTCAACATGTAAGTAGCTATATGACGATCCAAGTCTGTGCGCCACTTTTGTTTCCATAATCAGCTTACATTGAGGGAATGGGTGGATCACTATTTGGAGTTGTAAGACGACTTCATAAGTATAAGTAAAAACCTATTTATTCATAAGGAAGATATACATGTACTAGCTGTCTACATATGTATACATTTCTATGTGTGTCAGGTCTGCGAATACGGCTGTGCTTTCAGCTTTGGAAACGCCTTAAGTTTGCTTTAATATCATTAAGGGATTTACATTAGTGTCAATCGATATTTATCATCCGGGTTATTTGTTACTTCGTTCGTGAGTATGTCACTGTGATATTAGAGAATACAATTGTAGGATCTGTGGTAAGTAATTAAATACAATTTAGTGATGCAGGATATATATTCCAATCCGCAAGCATAGCATATTACTTAAACTGCAAAGCTTCATCAACCGTCTTACTACTGCTACGATCTGTTTAAAGCAACCATCTGTAGTTACATTGTACAGTCTGTATCCAATTATTATCTATAAATACACGAAGCTGCTACTGGTCCAAAGTTATAGTACCATTTTATATTGTCCAGGATTTTCATATTTAATTGTATGATTTGCAATTGCTTATTAATGCATTTTTACGATTATAATGTGTGTGTGTTTTATCGCAACTCAGTCGATACAGGACCTGTTTAATGTTAGGGTCAATCTCTTAACGGATACAATGTGTTGATTTCTATTGTTTTCACTACTCTATTCCATTACTTTTCTTCCTCTTTAAAACGGAAACAATAAAGACATATCAAAGAACAGAAATGATACAAATGACAAATGACAAATGAAAAAAAAAGTCGCCAAAAAAGAAACAAATAGACAATATAGGATGGACCAAAGGCAAAACCCTGTGCACTCAATATGTAAAATCATGTCTGGTACAATGTGACACCCATCACGGTGTGTCCAATAGAATCCAATAACTAATCAAGTCGATTTGCTCATTAAAGACTCAATACTGTTAACATGTATATATTGTGGATGACTTATAGAAACTTCCCCTGTCTTGAGGGTGTGACAGAGAAATCTCCAACCCAAGGGGGGATGTTTTTTGGTTGTCTAACCCGAGGCTCTGCTGAGGGTTAGACAGCCAAAAAATTACCCCGAGGATTGGAGATTTCTCTGTTTCTCCCATATCTAACAGTATTTTAATGTGAAATAAAGGTAAACATGGACCCAAAACACCTACAGGCAATTTGTTGATGGATTGTTGACGTGACGTCATTGTATTGTTGAAGTGACGTCATGCCATTGTTATGAATAGTGGAATCCCCCCGTCTCAAACCTAGGGCGGAGACAGATAAATCTAGCACCGGCAAAACGGGAGATAAATCTGTCAGGTGTGGGAAAAAGAGTTATCTTTTCCCTAGCAACAACGGTTTCACTCTGTGAAGTATGTGAGAATAATAGAATCTTTCACCCCCTTTGGGGTGAGATAGGAGAATCTCAACCCGAGGGGGAGGATTCTTAAGTTGCCAAACACGAGGCTTTGCCGAGTGTTTGTCAACTAAAGATGTTTTCCCCGAGGGTTGAGATTCCACTATCTCACCCACAAGGGGGTGAATGATTCTTTTTCTCTTACCCTGTTCTTTCATTGTGTATCATATGCACAATGTAATGATAACGTTACATGCTAAATTCAGGGTTGACGTGACGTTGATGGATTGTTGACTTGACGTCATTGTATTGTTGAAGTGACGTCATGCCATTGTTATGAATAGGGGAATCCCCCCGTCTCAACCCTAGGGCGGAGACAGGTAAATCTAGCACCGGCAAAACGGGAGATAAATCTGTCAGGTGTGGGAGAAAAGCTGATCTTTCCCGGCTAAAACGGGAGGCACACCTGTGAAGGGTGGGAGAAATGACTGTCTTTGTCAGAAATAATTGGTCATGCCGTAATGCAGATTGTAAAATTTGCTACATGTCCATTGAACCATCCACAGTTGAAATTCTGGCTTCATATTTTAATTGTGTGCATTATGACCATTAAATCTGACATGTACACGCCTTGAACAGGCATGATTGTTATTTTGCTGTTGAGGGAAGCAAAGGTAACGGTATTTGAATTATGTAACATAAAAAAGTGATAAAGATGGAAGTAACGCACTAATAAAGTTTTGAACTCAATGTCCATACCAAAAGACAACAATTTAAGAGACAAAACAACTGGTAAACATTCAATGCAGAACCCTACTGCATGTACATACAAGTAATTATAGGAAACACTCATCGACATTTTGGGTTTCTGCCGTTTCCTGTACTCTCGTGACGTTGAAAAAAACCCAAATTCATATGCTTTCCCCTTTGCAAAACTTGGGATCGATATCGTTCGTTTCTCACGTTCCTAATATTCCATCTCCGCATCGGCTCCCTTAGCCCCAGCCTCAAGTACCAATTCCTGTTGCAAGGCCATCAAACCTCAAAATAAACAAACAAAACTGATACCATTGCGAGATACTGAAATAATTTTATTTTAATAAAATACGAAGTACTCTAGGTAAAATAACTGAAATATTATCGGAGCTGTGATAATGTTTTGTCGTTGAAATGCCCATGAAGATACTGCATCGACGTCGGAAACGGTATTAGATATACACAAACGATGGATGAGTTAAGTGTTATCATCGTATTATCTGTTCGTACACACGAAGCATTTACGATAAATAAACACCGAACGACGTTATGGGAACAATGTTCATCTTTCAAACAGAGATTATAATTTGTATGAGCGTACACTGTAAAATTCGTGCGAACATCGTATATCTTCCGTATATTGCACTCACGTTGTGCTGCCATGGTGCAATATAATGCGTACACCATACAGAATAGGTACGTTATTCTGCACGGTTCATTTACGTTGCAATCCCACTGTAACGATATGGTATCACAGTAAAGATTCACGCAAACTACGTGTGCATATCTAAATTGAAAAGGGTTTTACTATGACACCAATTGATAACGGCACTTGTTTAAATAGGCCAGTACACAAACACCAACTCAAATACAGTTTTTGACCGACCAAGTCCAGTATCAAATAGTGAACAAATGAGAAACACAACAACATATACCAAATAAAGACAATATTTGACTCATCAAGTTCAAATCACGGTAACTTTCCAGTGTACCTCTTTGATCGTTGTAGTAAAGTCAACGAAACACTTCCAACGACCCATGTTACTAACAAACTTCAGTCCAGGACACACCTGGCCACGGTTACTACTTTATACCGTACTCGGTGTCCGTATAGATCTATAGTATGGACTGTGCAGTGTGACGGAGCTTGCTGCTGAGGCTGATAGCTTGCTACTGACACACAAGGATAGGCTTCACAACTCGCACACAGGGCAACAGATAGGCAGTACAAACCAGAGTGAACAGAGCCCGGCTTTGACGGCCTACACGAGGTAGCGGCCAATACTAAGTACATGGCCTAGATTGAACGTTGGTATGGAAATCACGTGAACACAATGATCACACTCTCGATGCAGGAACTAGACAAATTAAGCGTTGGTATCACCCGTGTGTTCAGTTAATCATATTTTGAATTAATTAAATATTATCATATCTATAGAAGTTATATACCTTTCAGAAAAGTAAAAAAGCTGATCTGAGTTTACTACTTGATCATTGAGAGATTTCCTGGAAACGATTCTAGATTGTGTTTGACAAGGTTCGATGCAAAACAACCGCCGAATTGCATTTTTTCATTAAGAATGCAGGATAGCAGTTCATCGTGATTGCTTGACAAGATCCACCAAATGTTTCCAAATCGTCAGAGGATGTAATCGTGTAGAAGGACTGTCGGATTAATCTGATACAGTTTTCCTGGTGTATATATAGATATAAAGTGTTTAAGGTGTACAGCTGCACTAGAGTTTTAATATATACTCGCATAATATAGGATTTATCTACTTTCAGTATCGTGTTTGTAAATACTTAATATTGTTGTGTCATAAGCAAGCTCGATTTGTTTATGTAAAATAGCGGCGAAATACCGCCACTGTCGACATTAAGTTGCTGTACTTATCTATATTGTTTTTGGTGTCGTGGATATAAGTTTGCTATAGTTACTTCTCCAATGGAAGGTGCGCTCCGATAACTAAAATAGCCAGCCGGAACTGTCATGGAATATATGGAAGTGTTTGCTGTATTCAGAGCCATTTTGGGCCGTGTTTATTGCTTGGTGTCTCTGTGTTGGATTTTACATGTTGGATCATTCATTCATTTATTTGCTGCATTCTTTACAGGTAAGCAAGATTTTATTTCATTTTAATATCTTCATTTCGAATGAATCGATTCCTTGGTCCTTAATTAACATAGTATATACTCGGAAAAACCCCACTCGCAAAACAAATGTTGAAGTAATGAAACAAATGCCCAAAATAAATGCACAAATGAAATGAATTCAACGGCAAGACAAAATGCATTTAGCATACCACTACGCAACATTGGTTGTACATTTGTGTTTTTAAAAACCACTTTCATGACATTTCAACCCGCTGATGATGCATTGATTACGACAAACGATAAATCTGTCTACATAGCCGTAATGTACGATGGCGTTCTATAAGGGATTTCATACGGATCACATGCAAAACGACAATAAAAATGCTACCCGTATATATGACGAATTTACTAGTATTGCGCGTCCTACATCTCAAATACCGCAGACAATTCCCTGAACAATTAAAATACATTTTGCAACTTTAGATACCGGTGCCACCTTTACATTTAAATATTATACAAAACATAATCTGATTTTATTACACTGGTTAAGTCAATACTAGTGAACAATGTTAAATCTTCCCTTATAATATTGGATTTTTTTTATACGATAGTCATCTTTTAAAAAAAATAAATGTAATTTGCATTTTGAATTTGAATACACGTAATATGCATATGGGCTATTTTTTTTGCAAGAGACACTTCTTTCTTTTTGGGAAATTGATTAAATCATCCACAATAAAATTAATTAATATCACCCACTATAAAATTTCGTTCGGAGAAATTTTCCGTCTTTCGCTACAATTCATTAATGGGAAACCATGAAGAGTTGAACCAGTGCTTTGTGTTGCTCTTCAATAAAATACGCACCAGATGCTTTTTGATGAATGTATGGATCCTTCGGTTATGAATAATGCGATTCTAAAAAAAATCGAATGCGTCTTGAAATTGACAATCGTGTTAGCACAAAAGTCCAATTAATGTGTATAGAAACAGGAAATATTCTACCTTGGATGCGTGTAACTTTCTGCAGGCGGTTACTGTATGAGGACTTATCTAATGTCTATTTCTCCCTCACAAGACATGTATTATATTTTGATTTCATGCGTCTGTATCTGTAATAGTAGAGATTGCATATTCCGTGTTTTCGTATTGCAGAGTTATTTGCTCTTGTAAATGGGTATTGATTTTTACGTCATTTGTTTGTGAGAGTAACGTCATAAATGTTTGAGAAAACGACGTAATTTTCTCAAACAAACTGATGACGTAACAATCAATACCTGCTCACAAGAGCAGATAACTCTGCAATACGAAAAGACGGAATACAGAAGATTGCACATTTGATAAAAACATTTCATTTATCATATAAAATTAACTTAACACGTTTGCTTATTAGTTCGGTAATACATTTGTGAACAAATATGATATTCTCCAAGCTACCCGTGTGAAGTAGGTGGCACGCGGCACAGTTGCTTAAACCGCGACACCAATTTCTGGAATACTATCTTCAAGCATGTTCTTTTACTTTTATTTCACATGTACGTATCATTAAAACATTAAAACGTATTTTTTCATAATTATTAAATTGTTCATAATAAACTCACAAGACCGGTTTTGAGCAATGCGTTTTGTATGTCAGTGTGCCATTCACGAGCCTGAGTCAGGTGTCGGCTAATCTGCGGGATACGTTGAGTTTCCCAACACGTCTTAATTCGGCCGGAAAAGCGAAGTGATAATGCAGTGAATTGATTTAAGAGTTGACGCAAGATTTAGGAAATTGTCAGGAACCCGAACATTGATTTCTATAACGATGGAAATTCAACTAGCGATTTTTTGGTCTTTTTCATTCCTTTGCCTGTTCTCTAATTATATTTCATCTGCTTGTCTTCTGCGACGTTAAACTGCTTTGTTAATTGAAGAGTCTCTACCCCTACCCCTAATCACCAGTTATCCGGGTTAAAGTACACTGTACGGCCGCATTTGGATATGTTTGCTTCATCAATCATTCAGCGGAAAACACGAACCGGATACGCCAGGTCCCAGGTTGACAAATAACCCACAATTGTTTGACACGGCTGGCAAAGGTGGAGCTTTAACACCACTGTTCGCTCGTAATTTGTACAAAAACGACCGTGATCAGTAACCAAAGCTATGCTAATATCGTCCTGCGTTTCGGCTATACTTTGATAAGAATGTTCGTTCAACCCAAATTACGGATGCATGAGTGTGCGAGTGATACTACCAGGGATGGATGAGTATCTAGCTGATCGAGACCTTCTGTTTATCTTTATTATACATCTCTGTGTTCACCAGTAATGATATTAACCACTTTAATAACTCCTGGTTTTGGTTAACTCCCATGACAATAGATTATCAGGTGTGTTATACGGTATTATCATTAAATAATGCATATACATTCCCTATACGACGAAGGTTACTGTTTAATACGAATACACAAATTACATGTATAATATAGATTGTTAAAATGGGTATGTCATTATTTCCATTCTTTCATCCCCAGAGGTTTTGCTCCGGACACTATTGTCTTTTATCAAATACATACACATACGTATAGGATAACACGTGTTATCATTTATAGATAACAACAACCTGATAGTGATATGGATATCAAACTGGGTACTATCGTTTTAGTTTATGAAAAATAAACAGTGAATGGGATAGCTGTAGGTAAGCGCTATGACTTGATGTGTATCTACCATTTTATTGCTCCTAGTGTTATATAGCGTTAACACCTGTGCACTGTACTTGTAGAAATGCTTCGTTACATATTATACACCTTACATGTACCTACGGAAACACTGTCGGCTCAACAACCCTGTGAAATTCTGCTTTAAAATCGATACGAAACACACCTGTACGTCGAAAGTGGCATATTGCCCTTCCTTAGTGATTATGGATTTACATTTATTTATTCATTTGAGTTATTCACTTATTTTCTTTGTGAAATTTTCAGGTTTGCTAAACAAATACATGTTTAGGTCACCTGGGACAAAGTCTCAAGTGACCTATTTTAGTCGCTTTTTGTCCGTCGTTGTGCGTCGTGCGTTCGTAAACAATTTACATTTTCGACTTCTTCTCAGAAACCTCTGATCCGATTTCAATGAAATTTTGCAGGAACCTTCCTTGGTCAAATATGCACCAAAATTGTAAATAATATGGTTCCCATCCCCAGGGGTCTGAGGGGCGGGTCTAAAAGAGGTAAAATTGACTTAAAATTTAAAATTCTTCTTCTCTAGACCAACATTTGCTGGACACCAATACTCTTCATAGGTGAAAGGGTCTTAAGGTGCTTTATCAAAATTGTGAATTGCATGACCCTCGAGCTTCACGTTTGCCCCTGAGGAAGGGTGAAGTGTACTATAGTTTATATAGGAAAATGCAACTTTTGGGTATATTTTGTTCATTTTCTACTGGAAATTATTCAAACTTGAATTACATTATAACCACGAAATGACAGTTTGCTACTACGACATTTTTAACCCTGTCTCATTACCAGGGGCTGAGGGGCGGAGCCCAGATGGGGTCATATAACCAGAAATGTAAACAGTCATTTTCTCCAGACTGCGATAGGCTGGAAACCAATACTCGTCATAGATGGAAGGGTCTTGAGGTGCTTTATCAAAAGTGTGAATTTCATGACCCCAGACTCCATGTTTACTATACTTCATTTAGGAAAATGATACTTTTTGGTATGTTTGGTTCATTTTAAATTGGAAATTAATCAAACTTGACAGACGTTATAACTATAAAACGTTTGATACTTTGACAGTTTGGGCCCGGGCCCGCCCCCAAGCGCTAAGGGGCGGGGCTAAAAGGGGTTAAGTTGGCTTAAATTTGAAAATCTTATCCACACCAAGACATGCTGGAAACAAATAATCTACATAGATAAAAGGGTCTTAAAGCCCTTTATCCCCTGGGGATGGGGTACAGATTACTATAGTTACATAGAAAAAAAATACTTTTGGGTACATTTGGTTCATTTCCGATTGGAAAACATTGAAACTTCATAGAAATTATAACTTCGAAATGACAGTTTGATACTATGACAGTTTGGGCTTTGGCCATCTTGGAATTCTTCTCTAGACTCAGATATGGCTTCGTTGACTTAAATACTATCCCTGAACAAGCAATGTCTGACACATGCTCAGAAGCAAAAATATTATTTCAAGAAGAATAAACTGGAAAAGATTAAAAAATAATGGCGTACACATGTATCCATAGTGTTATATTATAAATAACTTTGCCAAAGGCCTGATTGTTCCCTTAAACAACACTTTGTATGTTTGTCGTTCATCATGTTAATTTTAACATAATTAACAAAATATGCGACCTGTTTATCACGAAAAGCTCAAAGCAAATATCTTTCTCATATCAACTGGTGTTAAATTTAAATGATGTAGTCAACTTACAATTTTGTTGTTTTCAAACATTTAGTTGTATGTAATTTATGTTCAGTATAAAAAGATGCGAAGCTTCCAAATGGCAAATTACAATACACAAAAACTCTTCATTGTTAAATCAATATATTAGATATTTGACAGGACAGCTGTTTTCTTTTTAGTCAGTAACCTTACTCAAATAAATAAATAAAAAAACTCGTTCTACTGTAATAGGGAAGAAAGAAGTGGAAAGATGAGGTGCCCCAGATGGGATGGAACCCAAGACCCAAGGTTCCGGAGGCCAATGCTCTTCCACTGAGCTAAAGGGACTTGTCCTTTCTGCTGACTGACAGAACCACAATGTGTACATAGTACACATACTACACAGATATTTCACACTACTTTTGCATTACATGTAGTTCAAGTTACCTTTGTTACAAAAGTTATTTCTTTTTCATTTGGCAACATCGATAACATCAGTTTTTACATAACTCATGTGACCGTTAAGGCCCATGTGCCTCTTTTTGTTGTTGATGATTTTAACTCGGAAAAACAAAGTAAAAAAATGTTTTTCCCCTTGTGGAGTGTAACGTCATTGCATTGCTCGTTGTGGAGTCAACATG